TCTCCGCAAAAGGCTTTCTAACGGAAACCAATATCCGGTCAGCATATTGGGCATTAGGTAGTCACTTTAAAGCGCTTTGTTTCGTCTCCCCCAAAATGGGGATATCCTTACCTAGGTGATAATTGGTATTGAGCTCCATGTACTTACAGGGCCCAATGATGTTCTTAGACTATATTCACATCGGAAGGTGACCTCGTGCGAATTCGGAGGGATGATGGCAATTCGGCAGACACTCCGCATCCGGAGGCAATCGAGCATGAGATTGGCATGAAAGATCCGGAAATCGAACAACAGCATGAAAGGCAAGAGCGCTCACATCGCCGAGGCGGGGCACGAGGACGACTGTGCTGATCTGAATGTAGATTCAGACGATGGCGTGCAACAAGAAGATAAAAGACCGCCGGAGAGGGAAAATAAGAGCTCGAAGGCTGTGGCTAAGGGACGTCCAGAGTCGACGGGAAATCAAGCGGTGGCAAAGAGCAAGGGACTTTTGACGGAGACCAAGATGAAGCGAAATAATGGTGTTCCCACCCAGCAAGAGCTTCTGTTTGTGGGGGGAGCTGCCACGGTGTTAGTTGCGTACCTCCTTGCGTGTGTGTACAGCTTCTTTCACCCTGTAGTGTTCCCCTTATCGAACTACGAGGAGCTGTTCTCGGCGTACGATATCTCGAATGTTTCCGTGCACATTGTGAGCCCCGTGGGAAATTCAATAATCACGCCACAAGGTGTTTCATTCGAGTGGCAACTTGCCAACTTTCCCACTGAAGCTCTGCATTTGTATGGCGCCGAGGTTTTTCGATACGAATTATTTTTGGACGACGAGGTTTTCACGTCGGAAATAGGATTTCTTGCACTTGAAAGCGAAGACGACGATACTGAAGTGCTCAATCGCACTGTCGATTCCTCTCCGAAAATTCACACACGACGGGATATTTAAGCTTCATCTCGAAGTTACTATCACCATTCCTGGGCTAATCGAAGAGCTCACGACATACAAGAAAGATGTCTACGTCCGAAAGCCACCCACTCCCTCTATTGAGGACGAGGTACACCTATCACTAACGTCTCCCTTGGATGGTGCTATCTTCGAACGACATCAGTCTATTGTCCTCGAGTACACCGCCATGAATGTACAAACTCTCGAGTTGCTGATTGATGACGACATTTACTTGAAGAAAACCCACGCAATATGCTGCTGCGTGGACTCGGCGTGGGGCCGCACACACTCGGAGCGAAAGCCGTGAGCGACCAGAATAAAGTCACAGCGTCCAGTTTAGTGCATGTAGAGATAATGGAGTCAGCATAGGCGCTATTAAGTGTAATTGGATGGAGTTAGCGTATTACGGTACTGCACACGCTGTGAATTTCCCTGTAACGGGGAAGATATATGTATTTTAGCGGTAAGCGAGGTGTTCTCTCTATCCTCATCCACACTCTTACTGCCAGACCTTCTTAGGCTTCCAGTGGAAGTTCTCTTACAGACGCAGCAGGTTGCGCTCGAGCATGGCCACCGTGACCTTACCCACCAGTGGCACGTACTGCACGCCCTTTATCTTAAGCAGCTCGGCCTCGTCCACGTTCTTGAAGGACGCGACGTTGATGATGACCGTGTTTTCGCTGACCCACTCAAGCGGCAGCTTGTAGCTCTTAACGGGGACGCCAGTAATGATGACACGAGACTTCTTACACGCCGTCTCCTGCGTCTCTTCGCTCGGGATGAGCTTACCGCGACGGAATAGGTACAGCGAGTAAATGTCGGCGCTGTACACGTCAGCGCCGTCATTCGCAAGCATAGCAGCCAATGGGCGGCCGACAATGTATGAGACCTGGACGACGCAGTCTCAGAAACCAGAAGTCTTTTTAGTATTGATAGTCACTCGCCCGTTGAAACTTGGTTGATATTTTTATTTCTAACGGAGTCCATCAAGGGTGGAGCTCCAGCAATTCCCCTTCTGCCAAGTGTGGGGCGAGTAGTGTGTTAACGCTTACTTCTTCCGTCGTAAACACTGTCCAGACATCGTACACGACCTCTGCAAGTGAACGAGTAGGGGACGTTCGCTGTTAGGGTTATGAGCCCAAAATTAGAGTAAACTTCCAGAACTTACGTGAACGCTGACGGTGTCGTGGACGCTGCCTTTGATGTCAGACTTACTTGGTACTCCGTCTCCGACCGCGTCGCGACGGATGATGGCTGTATCAGCGCCTGCAGCGTCAGTAGCGGCTGGACCGGTAGGTCCGTTGGCTGGTGGTGCTGGCGGGATGCCTGTCCTTCAGTCTCCACAGCCGCAGTCTGTTTCTGCGTTGAGCTCACCAACTTCAACACTCATTTTGACTGGAACTCCAGTGGTGAACGCTTCAGCGAGGTTGCACGCTAATGAAGAACAACAACGAAGGATACCATTGCCACCGACTAACCTAGCGTTGGATGTGAACAAAAACCCACCAAAAATGGCAGGAAGCTTTAACCTCTATCGCGCTCAAGTTATGGCCTATTTACATCGATTTAATGCTTGGGGTCTGATCGATGGATCGAGACACTGAACCTCGAGGAAATAGCGGTCGAGTCTTTCCTGACCAACCTCAAAGTTGGGGAAGTTGCCGAGATGGTGCTCATAAGACCTGAGCCCACTCGGGAGAAGTTGAACGCCTCCTCTGTCCTGGACGAGGACGTAACTGGAAGAGCTGAACAAGCATCGTCAGACGCGCTCGGGTACAGAGATCCTTGAGAGCCCCAAGGATCCAGT